GGTTTAGGGCTTTAGGGTTTACCTGGACCCTAGACTATCCTACATTTTTGGAGGGCATATTTCTATAAGCACACCATAACCAGGAATCCCCCCAAAAGTAGATTCTTAAGAGTCCAGGCAGGGTTTAAGCAAAAGCGCTCCCATAGTATATATAGCTCTTATAGTTAGCTTCCCCCTCCCTTCCCTTATGCGACCTTCACGAAAAAGCCCCTGTGCCCAAAAACCCCAAGGATCAAAAGAACTCAAACCTCAAGAACATCCGTTTGCATTGAAACCCTAAATCCCGCGGCAAAGCCTTAACCCTTATATCCTATGTCTAAACCCTAAGCTGAGCCAAGCTCACGTGACTAAAACCCCAACCCCCGGCAAAGAATGACGACTGGGCCCTAAATCCCAAACCCCAAACCCTAAACCCCTACCTCACAGCACGCAATCTTTCCCGAATTCGCGTCCTGCCGTGTTTGGTGACAAGTCTGGTTTTCTAAGGGTTTTAGGATCTAAGCTTAACTTAAGGTTGTAGGGTTTGGGGCCGTTTGGGTTCCGGGCAAGTCTAGGCGCTTCCCCAGTAAGTAGTGACTGAATGATGAAGGTGCCCTTTTTACCACCACTAAATATACACAGCACAAAGGGTACTACATACTATGGGGTGGACCTAGTTTTTGGAACAAGACGACATGTGCGACCTGGAGATATCCGAAGAAGATCAAATCCAGGACCTAGCGCAAACGCAGGCATCGTTCCTTTTCTGGGCCAGGCTCGTCCCTGTGGCCGATGGCATGACAGATACGCTGCCGAAGAAACCCAACTGACGACAACGCCGAAGTAGCAGCCGAGTTGGCGCCTGAGGGCTGCTTTGAATCGGGGATTAGGGTTCAGGTTTAGGGTTATGAAGTACAAGGATTGTAGCACTCCGCTTTACCATCGTTAAGCATTCAACAAAGTAACCTTTTCTTGAAATAGCTTACCGATCGTAATGCGACGTCACTACATGGGTCCCGACCAGCCATCGACTGCCCCAAACAAAAGGGTGTTTGGGTGTACAATCTCGGGCTTCTCATGCGGTATATAACAAGTCCATGACAAGTAAACCCTGAACCGCAAATGGCAACCTGAATCTTCACAAGCTTTATGAAGCCCTTTAAAGGAACACCATTATACAGCCCTTCTAGAGCCCATGTAGAACCTGTATACAAAACCCTTATTTAAACCATACAACAAACACTGATAAGTTGAAAACCCTCATGGAGCCGTTTATTTAATCCTTACAACAGAGAGAGAGGGAGAGACCTCCAATGCTCGAAACACCCGCCGCCGAGCCAATCACGGTCGGCGAGGCTGGGAAAGTGCGTTCGGAGGAGTCGAGAAACTGAAAGATGGCCTGTGGTCTTTTGGGCTTCGGGCTGAGGAATCAGGACTTTGGGCTTAGGATTGAAGGGTTCAAGGTTTAGGGTTGAAGGTTGAGAGGTTATACACTTAAGAGTATTTGGCTGATAAAGGTTTATGGCTGAACGGTTGGCAGAGGCCTGGGTGTTTTTTCTATGTAAAAACAAAGGAGTAAGAGCTCTATTGGGGCTCTGTAAAGGTGTCCTTTGGTACCTAAGCCCTAAACCCTAAACTCTAAGCCGTTGGGGATTCGAGGGTTTCAAGTCTTCGGGAGCCTGGGTTTCAGGGTTTGGGGCCTCGGAATTCAGGGCTGCCAGGATCCGGGGTTTAGGGTTTAGGGTTTAGGGGGGCTTCGACGTAGAGCTAGAGATTCGGGCTTAGGGGCTTAGGGCTTATTTGGGATTTGGGCTTAGTTTGGGCTTAGGGGTTGAGGGCTTATTTGGGATTTGGGCTCAAGGGTTGAGGGCTTATTCGGGCTGCTTTTTGGACTTGAGGGAGTATTGCCTGGAGTGCATTTCGAGGTAGCCGCCAGGTCGCCATGGCATGATACATCCAGATGAACTGCGCGACGAGCTCTTCCTTCTTGTCCTGCCTGAGCCTGTAAACGCACAGGACCTTGTTCGTCGAGTCTTGTGAAACGGCCGTAGCCCCTGGGGCCTGTAGAGGGATTATGTTCTGAGTCTTAGCCGCCCGAAAAACATTGACATTCAATAAGTGATAAGCTAGACGGAACCGTAAGCCGTAAGCCCCGACACTTGAACCCTAATACTCTACAATCCGTGAGCCCGAACCATGTACCTGAACACCCCCAAACTTCCTAAACGCCGCTGAGAAACCCTACGCAAGCTCTGACGGCCTTCGCGGCTACTAGCGATGTCGATCAGCGCCTCAAAATGAGGTAGGCTCGATGGCTGTCTGCGCGGCGGGTTAGCCTGAAGCAGACGTCATGGTTCCCAGAGAGCCCAACACCCTTCCCCATTCAGGATCACTACCTTACATTACCCTATGCTTCCAGGGACATGGTTAAGGGGTCTAGGGCCCTAACTATCAGGTCCTTGGAAGTGCAGGGTTATCCAGGGCAACATCTTGCGAATGTGGTTTACGATATGTTCCTTTGTCAAGGGGGCACTGAGAATCCCTGGGTTCGGGTTTCAGGTCTTGGGTTTTAGAGGGACTACGGTCCATGGTTCAGGGCTTGGGGGGTTAGTGGTGGAGTTCCGGAATAGCCTGCAACTGCCTCTTCTCTTTGGCTCGGTGTCCAAAAGCCCTAAACCGGAACATCATATAGGGGCCTTAATAATTCGAATAGGGTTTGGGGGTAGAT